CGACGCCAAATTCAAATTCCCGCCAATCAACGGTACCGTAACCAAAAATTACAATTCTCTGCGAGATCATTTTTCGGCCATTAAAAAATTGGCTTCAAGCCAAAAATTGGAACATCAAGGACATTTTAAAAATAAATGTAAAAACGGCATCAAAACGGTACGAAACACGGGTTTTTCAACGGATTTTTTTCCGAAATCGTGAAAATAACAAAATGTACATATTCAAAACCCAAAACGAAACGAATAACACTCAAAAATACCGCATTAAAAAACCATTTCACTTCAATTAAACAACGATTCATTTTTCCAAATCACCAAAAAAACGTCTAAAAAAGCAAAATTTCTTCAAAAAAAGGCAAAAACGCACCTTTTTCGCCGCTTCAGCCGCACTGTTCTTATCGCAATACGTCACGAACGCATATCCCCTATTCTTGCCCGTCAACGGATCCATCATCAATCGCAAATCCCACATCTTGCCGCACTCCTCGAACAACGGTATCAGCGCGTCCTCGTAGATCTCGTTCGGTATCTTACCGATGTAAATCTACAACAACAACATAAAAAAACAACTTAATAAAACAAACCGAAATCCAGCCATCCCAAAAATACCAACAAAAATAACCAACAAATATAAAAACTACCCTCAAAAAATACCCTCAAACCATACCCTACCCTAATTCCACCACTTAAACCACTCCAACCCCCCTCAAACCATAAAAATCCAAACCCCTCACCTCATGTCCTGCTCCAGTCGGTCCTGTGGCTGGTCCATCCCAGTCCGGCGGCGGTCCACCGTATTTTCGCTGACCGTTGGTCACCTCCAGCTGGTATCCNTTCGATTTGGACACCTCAAATTTTAAAAAACACAATAAATAACAATAATAATAAACAACAATAAACAAAAAATAAACAATAAAAACAATCAAAAACAATAATAATAAACAATAAACACAATATAAACCTCTCCAATCACAAAAATCGCGTGATCAACAGGGAATGATCTGAGCATATCGATCGCCCTCTCGTCCATATCATCCGGTGACATTTCAGTCGATTCGTATAGCTGTATCAAAGCCACTGCCACCTAAATTTCATTCATTCATTATTATCACTTTAAATTATTTATC